TATATATATATATATATATATATATATATATATATATATGTCTAGAATTTCCTATACCCTAATAGTATGTAATGAGTTTAAATATTAAAAACATTAGTATTCATTTTAATTGGTATGTAAACACCTAATTTAATACACTGTTTTTCATATTAATGTATTTATATTTTGTTTAGATTGATTTATTTAATATTATCCTAACTTGAACTTTTTGTGTTTGTGAAGCTTCCGGAACCCTTGAGTGTGTTGATCATCAGTGTTAGAGCTCTATCTGCTGGCCAGACTGTGTGCCAGATAATAATAATAATAATAATAATAGTAGTAATAATAATAATAATAATAATAATAATAATAATAGTAATAATAATAATAATAATAATAATAATAGTAATAATAATAATAATAATAATAATAATAATAATAATAATAATAGTAATAATAATAATAATAATAATAATAGTAATAATAATAATAATAATAATAATAATAATAATAATAATAAAAGTTTCATATTTTTAGATGTCTAGCCTTAATAGTATTGTGAAGAGTTTCAATATTAAAAACATTAGTAATTATTTGCATTGGGATGTAAACACCTGCTTTAAGACACAGTTTGACATATTATCTTGTATATATTGTCAAAATATCGTCACATTTGGTAGATTTATTCAATAATATCCAAGTAAGTTGAAGCTTCTTGAACCCTTGAGTTTGTTGATCATCAGTGTTAGAGCGCCATCTGCTGGTCTAAATGTGAATGTCTCTTTTTCTCTGAGTGTTTTCAGTGAGTTCATTCACAGTTTGCATCTTTTATGTAATTAATTAATATCTTGGATGATAATATTATTTAATTAATAATAATAATAATTTTATATATTTATATATCTAGCATTTAATAGTATTGTGAAGAGTCTCTATATTAAAAACATTAGTAGTCATTTTAATTGTGATGTAAACCCCTGCTTTAATGCATCTTTTATGTAATTCTTGAATATCTTAGATGATATTATTTTTTTGTGTGTGTAGTAGAATTTTTTACATTAAATATTTTTTTTAATAATGACTAAAATACTAGTTATTTCCTGCTATGTATTTTTTATTAATATAAATACCGTTAAAATCACTATTTATACATAATAATAATAATAATAATAATAATAATAATAATAATAATAATAATTTAAAACGTTTCATATGTTTAGATGTCTAGCCTTAATAGTATTGTGAAGAGTTTCAATATTAAAAACATTAGTAATAATTTGCATTGGGATGTAAACACCTGCTTTAAGACACTGTTTGCCACATTGTTATCTTGTATATATTTTCAAAATATTACCACATTTGGTAGATTTATTCAATAATATCCAAGTAAGTTGAAGTTTTTAGGTTCATGAAACTTCTGGAACCCTTGAGTTTGTTGATCATCAGTGTTAGAGCGCCATCTGCTGGTCTGAATGTGAATGTCTCTTCTTCTCTGAGTGTTTTCAGTGAGTTCATTCACAGTTTGCATCTTTTATGTAATTAATTAATATATTGGAGGATTTATTATTTAATTAATAATAATAATTTTTTTATATATTTATATATCTAGCATTTAATAGTATTGTGTAGAGTCTCTATATAATAAACATTAGTAGTCATTTTAATTGTGATGTAAACCCCTGCTTTAATGCATATCGATATATTGTAAAAATATTGCCACATTTCGTTTATTTAGATTTTTTCAATAATATATAAGTAAGTTGAAGATTTTGTGGCCGTGAAGCTTCTGGAACCCATGACTGTGTTGATCATCAGTGTTAGAGCTCCATCTACTGAAGGTGGATTTTTCTGATGCATCATCTGTTGAACTGCATCCCAATCATCACAAATCCTGCAGAAGACTGACAGGAACCAGCATGGACACAAGATTCTCACAGAAATCAGTCAAGTTTGGTGAAGGAATAATCATGGAATCAAGGAATAATCTAACACATCGACACCGGTAACTTTGCAACACGACGGTATAGAAAGACTGGCACTCGTCAGCAATTACCAGGTAACTTTGTATTATGGTGGCTATAAAGGACAAGTCAGTGAAAAGTTGAGCATCGCCGCATCTCTTCCTCAGCTTCCTCAGACCCAGGCAGAGCCACACCCGCAACGCAACTTGGTGACACAAACACCACTCTCACACTGGAGGTCAGAACTCTCTTCCAGAAGAAAAAAAAAACCCTTTTATATAATTAATCATCGTAATTGGTCGTTGTATCCAATGGGGATGAACTCATTATAAAAGGCAGTGACAAAGGAAGTAAACACAAAATAGGGGCAGTACAGAAAGTTTCTGTAATGTCACAGTTCTATAATCATCAGAAATCTGCAGATTTTTACCAAAATTCCCTGCAGAAATAGCAAAAAACGTCTGCAGATTCTGTCTGGCCCTACCCATAAGTAATAAATAATAAATTCAAATTCAAATCAGGTAGTGTATAATACATTTTATTTAAAGGCGCATTTCTGGCAACTCAAGGACACTGTACAATAAAACAAGAGCAATAAAACAAGAAGACGAATTAACTAGCGCAAAAACAATTAGGTATTAAAAGCCAACTTGAATAAGTGAGTTTTGAGTCTTGCCTTAAATAATAAAGCATGTCTCGTTGTCCTCTTCTTCTTCTCTGCGTGTGTTTTCAGTGAGTTCCTCCACAGTCTGCGTTTATATCGCACTTTTTACGGCGCTCTGGCTGATCAGCTGTGCATCAGTGAACTGGCCTCTGCAGACGGACGGGCCTGCTGGAACGGAGACGACGTGGCCAGAAGGTACAAATAAGTCAACTTTTGCCTCTTGGTTTCTTTCTCTCTGATTTAAATCATTAAATACTGAGTGTTTGCTGATAGACTGCTGGTTTTCTGTAACAAGTGGAGGTGAGTTTAGAAAGAGCGACATTCAGTCTGAGTCAAACCTGCCAACCTGATATCTCCAAGTAGGAGATGTTACTGGGTTACATGTTGATCCTGGAGCAACATCCCAATCAGCCAATCAGAATTAGGGATACGTTTACAGCTCATGTTTATGCTTAAGGTTAGGTTTATGCACTTCTGCATGATTGTTATCCAACTATTAGTCTTCTCTGATTTTTGGGAGTAATTTACAGTTATGGTTGGGTTTAAGGGTGGAGAATATGTATGGATTACATTTTCCAATGATCGTCCAGGATCAGCATAGATGTTTCAGGTTTCAAACAAGCCTGAAGGACTTAATTAGTTTGATGAGGTGTGTTTAATTAGGGTTGGAACTCAGCTGTGCAGAGCGCCGGCCCTCTAGGATCTGAGTTTCACCTGTTATTTGAATATATCTTATTGTTAATGATAATTGTATGAAGACCAATTTATATTATATTTATTTTATTAATGCTTATTTTTACTGTATTTTATTAATCAAGATAAATCTATTATGGTAATAGATATATTTAGATTGTGCATTTATTGTGGTGGGTAAAAATACACTTAAAGGCATAGTTCACAAACAATGTCAATTCTGTCATCTTTTACTCTTACCCTTCACTTGTTTCGAACCTGTATAAGTTTCTTTCTTCTGTTGAACACAAAAGAAGATATTTTGTAAAATGTTGTAAACCTGTGAACGTTGACTTCCATTGGATCTGTTTTTCCTACTATGGAGGTCAATGGTTACAGGTTTAAGCTGCCTTTCCACTGGACACAAAAACGACAAACGACAGACCGGAAGTCATTCATTTCTAATGGAGAGTAGTCCGGGATCTGCGTGGAGTTTGGATCATCTCCATATGCAGAAAATTCAGATCCGTTTTGAGCTGCGGATCCGTTAAAATATTTTAACTCCTACGACTAGACCGTATGTGACCAGCCGGATGTGATGTATTCCAGTGTCGTCCAAGCAGTTCCGTGCACGCGAGATGAGAAATTGTATTGTTTTCGTAATTTTTTTAATTCAAAAAGTCGATAAAAACAAAACATTTATATTCATAAATGAGTAACAAAAATATTATTATTTTTAATCTTGTCTCCACATTCCCTCCAAAACTTTTAGCAGGCTATAAAAACTTTCTAGTATTCGTTCATACGTTCGTTCGTTCGTGCATGCGTTCGTTCGTTCGCTCGTTTGTTCGTTCGTACGTTTGTTCATTCACTCATTCGTTTATTCATTTGTTCGTTCATTCATTTGTTTTGTTTGTTCATTTACTCATTCGTTCATTCATTTGTTCGTTCATTCATTTGTTCATTCACTCATTCATTCATTAATTTGTTCATTCATTCATTTGTTCATTCACTCATTCATTCATTCATTTGTTCATTCATTCATTTGTTCGTTTGTTCATTCACTCATTCATTTATTCATTTGTTCGTTCATTCATTTGTTCATTCACTCATTCATTCATTCATTTGTTCATTCATTCATTTGTTCGTTTGTTCATTCACTCATTCGTTCATCCATTTGTTCATTCATTCATTTGTTCGTTCATTTGTTTATTCATTCATTTATTAATTCGTTCATTCATTTGTTTGTTTCATTCATTCGTTTGTTCAATTATTCATTCATTCATTCATTCATTCATTCATTCATTCAACCATGCTGAACACACAGAGAATAAAGGCTCTTCTTTTTGCACTTTTTTATTTCAGACACCACGACTAAATATTCTGTGCGACTGCCGAAAGGAGGTGTATTCTGACAAACCTGTCGTGTGCAGTGAAAAGGCGGTTTTACAGCCTTCTATAAAATATGAAAATCTCATATCAAATCTCATATAGATTTATAACCAATTGATGGAGTAAATTTTTATTTTTGGGTGAACTATCCCTTTAAGAGCATATCCCACGTCTTACATATGATGACAGCTGGCAAGAAATATGGTTATTGAGCACCTAATGAGAGCTGATATGATCAGCTGCAAAAATATTTGATATGGCCCGACACTAACCCTGACCTCGACCCTACATGACCCTACTGTATCTGCAGTCCTTCAGAAGCATCTCTTATAAATCTGGCTTTCTGGCAGCTTCCTTTAGCTGTGAATAATGAGCACAGGATTTCAGTGTGCGTGTCTGCACTTGATATGGCTGATCTGTCGCGGTGCGCTGTGGTATTTTTAATGTCATTCCTGCACATTAAATCAACTTTTGAGGAATCGGGTGCTTCCTGGTTAAATGTCTTGAAGACTTGAGCGTAAATCATCTTGAAGAAAGCCTGGTCAGACTGAAATGAGTGTTATAAACTGAAGTTATTTTGGATAATCTTACTGTATTTACTCAATCAATTGTTACTGTCTCCTACTGTAAGAATAAATGTGTTTAGATCTATAGTAATGATTTCTACAGCCCCTTAAAAGGCTCAAAATTACCGTGAATTAAAGCAGAAAGTTTTTTTACTTTATGCAAAATTAAACAACATAACTTAATAAGTAATTAATAATAATAATAATAATAATAATAATAATAATGAGAATAAATAATCAATTAATATATGTTGTATCTATTTAACCAATAGTCATTTATTCGAGACTACACTTGGTAAAAGTTTGTTTAATTTACTTAATTGAAATAAGGCAATGAGTGTGCTCAATTCCATAAAGTAACTAGCACTTATTTATTAATTTTACAGTATTTATTTCTTACTAATATATTAAAATATTCCTTACTTCACAAATAGTCACATTAGCTTAGACATTTGCTTTGCTTTAGAACAGGGGTGTCAAACTCATATCAGCTCAGCCACATGGAGGAAAATCTATTCCCAAGTGGGCCAGTTTGGTAAAATCGTAGCATATATAACTTAAAAACAAAAACTTCAGATTGTTTTCTTTGTTTTAATATGATCGACATAAAGCTGAAGCGTGAGGAAAACACGATCTCAGGGCAATTTGTATAACTTTTTGATTTAGTGGCTAATTGATATTAATTTAGACGATTTCATTTGTACAATGGGGTATATGCCGAAGCATGCTAATAGGACTTTTAATTTGCCAGTAGCCTGGGTTAAGCGCTTCTGGCAAATTGAATGCCAATGCAAATTTCGGTGCGTTTAAGGTCTGTTGTCTTTAAAAATCAGCGATCTCCACTAGCTGAGTGATTTCCGATTTAAAGTGGGTCTCAGATTGTACAAAAAGCACTGCGCTAAATTACATTTCCCCCGCCATATCTTTATAATATGAGCATTTATTTTACTCCAGTATATTCAATGGAGCTTCTGCATTAGCCTGCCGATTCTGACGGGCGCGTGCGAGTAAACGGCTTTTTGTCTCGTTTTATGCTTGAGCAACCAAATAAATGCTAAAGTTTATTTAACTGAATGTATTTTAATGACATTACAACATCGATGCTGTATAAGGAACCGTATAAAATGGAAAAAAGTTCACAATAACATGTCACCGGAAGTGTATCAGCATGGGAACAGCACTAGCTCGGCATATACCCTATTGTAGTACAATTTGCTTGTTGGGTTTAGGGGTGGGGTTTGGTGCCACGTCTGCTTTTTAAAATCATACATTTTCTTTTGACTGAACTTGTATGAATTAGCCACTAAATTGACAAAACGTAAAATAGTTGCGTTTCATGTTGAGAACACCTCAGTGTGGTATGGCAAGGCATAGATGTGGTCTTTCTCCGAAAAGGCAGTCAAACTGATGCTGATTCAGGCTTCTGGATCGGATGAAATTAACAATTTGAAATTGTTATTGCGCTATTGTATCCAGCTGACACAATTGGAACGGTAGTTTCTTTTTATTGAAAAATTGCAGCTCATTTGTATTCACCTTATTCTTCGTCGACGAGCGGGCGCAGCCATTTGAATCTTTTTGGTTCGAGACTTCCGGCCTCTTTCACTTCTATTCATTTTTAGACATTAAAAACTGCTCGTTTCTGATATTTCCTTATTATATTATTCTACTTGGTCTGTATAGTCATGCAAACATTTGTTTGTAGAGCAAGTAGTTTGACCGTTTTCTGACGTTTATTATTCCTTGTCATTTCTCCCATAGGCGACTGAATCGGAAGTTCTAAAACAATGGCGAAAACAGGCGCACTTCCGCATTTTAGAATAAGGTCGATACTTTACAGAATCATCTCGCGGGCCGGGTTAAACCCTTTTTGACTGGATGACAGCCCTGCGTTAGACAGTTCTCGATCTGTAATCTAAGTTAGTACATTTTTACAACTTTATTTTTACCCAAACCTCTGTAGATCTCACACTAAAGGCTGATTTATACTTCTGCGTCAAACACCGGCGTATGCTACGGCGCTGATGCATAGCCCTTCGCCGTGGCTGTCGGCGTCGCTGACGTGCACCTCTCAAAAATTGTAACTACACGTCGCAACGACGTGTAGCACAAGCTCTGTGATTGGTCGGCTTGGTAGCGCTGACGAGTCTGGGCGGGACCGAGAGCCGCGCGAATGGTGCGAGCTGGACGCGAGCCTAATGGAGCGATTGTTTACAAGTGTGGAGTCCCGTGAAGGAGCTCCGGATGGAAAGTTTTGTTTTGTGTTTACCTCATAGATAAAGTTGTTGCACGTCCGCCAGTTCCTGCCTCAAAATGAGCGAGTTTGAGCCACTTGTACATTAAGGAAGTGTTCAGGAAAAGCAAAACAGAAGTGAAGAAACTCGACACCGAGGAACATTTACACCTCACTGCCCACTAGCGTTTCGGAAGTGTTAATGCAGACCAACAGAGACAGCACGCAGAAGTATAAATGCACAGCTGCGCGCGTTGCCTGCGCCGTGAGTTACGCCGGTCACTTGACGCAGAAGTATAAACCAGGCTTAAATCATGTCTCCTTGTTTTAAT